CTGCGGTAGTAAAGCTGATGTTGCATATCTTACAGCTGAAGTCTTTCTGTTCTGTGTGTGTTCTCTCGTGTCTCGCTAAATGACCCTCTGAACTCAGTGTTTTTCCACAGGTGGCGCAGGAGAAACTCTTGACCGTCAGCTGATCTTTTGATGTTAAGTATGTTTCTCCGTCAGAAGATGAACAGCCTTCGTCATCTGAAATGAACAAAATGGTTATAAATTCTGGGTTTTAAAATAGATTTGAGATTTGTTTGTAACTCAGGAAATATACAGAAAGTCTGTAATAATTTGTCTATATAAGTCTAGGGGTGAACAATTAATTAAAAAAAAAAATCAAAAAAATGTTTTTTAGAAAACTTTATCATTATTTTTTATTGATAAACTGAGTTTGGAAATGCAACATTCTCCACACGTCACCATATTTATAATTTTATAGTATAAGAAATAGTGTTATTGATATTGCAATGTATTTCTTTCATGATTTTATAATTTATAATAATATATTTATTTATTAATAATTAATTGTAATTCGATTTTTGGCCAAATTATGCAGCCTTACAAACAGGCACGGCAAATCTGGCTCACTTAAAAAACACATTCAAGATCAAAATCTCAACAGAGAGAGAAAAAAATACTATAATTTGCCATTATGTTCCCAAATATCTCTTGAGAGAAAATCTTCTCTCAAAATTGATCAGATCATCAGAGACCAACTGTCAATAAAAACCTGATCCTGCAGAGACTCTGCTGACATTCAAGTGTCATAAAAGGAAGAAACACACCTGGAGGAATGAATTCTTCTTCATCATCATCCCCATTATTCTCATCATCATCCTCCTCTTCCTCATCACTGTGTTGTTGTTCTTTCTCTGCGGTGGTTTCTTCTCCTCGGCTCTCCATCAGGTTCCTGCAGTCCAGCAGTTTGACGGAGCACATCTTCAGCGGCGTCTGCAGCATCTGCTGTTCTCCAGCGTTACAGTCAGAGGTTTGATCAGTGGATTCATGATCCTGAGCGTCAGTATAACAGAGTAAAGTGAGGCTGAGCTCTGAGTCCTGTGTGTCTCTGGATCTCTGATCTCTGACGCTCCAGACTGAATCCTGAGCTTCTGTCCCATCAGCCGCACGCACTGAAACCTGCTCCACATCCTGACAAACACAATCAGCTTATCAATACAGAATCATATATCAGTTGATTCTGACACTCATGAATCAACTTTGAAACGTAAAGGGATAGTTCACACAAAAATGAAAATTCTGTCATTAATTACTCACCCTCATGTCGTTCCAAACATGTAAGACCTTCGTTAATCTTCGAAACACAAATTAAGATATTTTTGATGAAATCCAAAACCTTTCTGACCCTCCATAGACAGCAATGAAACTGAAATGTTCCCAGGCCCAGAAACGTAGTAAGGACTTTGGTTAAATAGTCCATGTGATATCAGTGGTTCATCTGTAATGTTATGAAGCTATGAGAATACTTTTTGTGCAAAAAGAAGGGTTTAATTAAAGATGAAAGAGATGTGTTTTAGCCGATTCTTGAAGATGGCTAAGGACTCGGATTGAGTAGAGCAGGTCATACCACCAGGAGGGACCATTTGATTTAAAAGTCTGTATAAGTGATTTTGTGCCTTTTTGGGATGGGCACATAACTCTGAAGTAATGAATTTAGGTAAAGGGGTGCAGAGCCAGTGGTGGTTTTGTAGGCAAACATTAATGCCTTGAATTTTATGCGAGCAGCTAATGTTAGCCAGTGCAAATTGATAAACAGAGGTGTGACATGCATTTTTTTCGGCTCATTAATCTTGCTGCCGTGTTCTGGATTAATTGTAAAGGCTTGATTGAACTGTCTGGAAGACCTGCCAAGAGAGCATTTCAATAGTCCAGCCTGGACAGAACAAGAGCTTGAACCAGGAGTTGTGAAGCATGTTCTGAAAGAAAGGGCCTGATCTTCTTGATGTTGAATAAAGCTAATCTGCAGGACTGGACAGTTTTAGCAATGTGGTCTGAGAAAGTCAGCTGATCATCAATCATAACTCCAAAGTTTCTGGCTGTTTTTGAAGGAGTTATGGTTTGTGTGTCTAACTGGAAGGTGAAATTGTGATGAAACGATGGGTTTGATGGAACCACAAGCAGTTCTGTCTTGGCAAGAAATGTCTATCCAGCAAGAAATGTCTGTTAGACAAGCTGAGATGCGAGCAGCTATCGTCAGATCATCAGGATGGAATGAGAGGTAGAGTTGAGTGTCATCAGCATAGCAGTGATATGAAAAGCCATGTTTCTGAATGACAGAACCTAGTGATGCCATGTAGACAGAGAAGAGAAGTGGTCCAAGAACCGAGCCCTGAGGCACCCCAGTAGCTAGATGTTGCGACTTGGACACCTCACCTCTCCAAGATATCTTGAAGGACCTATCTGATAGGTAAGACTCAAACCACTGGAGTGCGGTTCCTGAGATGCTCTTTGCCAATAGGGCTGACAGGAGAATCTGGTGGTTAACCATGTCAAAAGCAGCGGACAGATCCAACAAGATAAGTTTTGAAAATTTGGAATCTGCTCTTGCCAGTCTTAGGGCTTCAATAACTGAGAGCAAGCCAGGCTCGTTGAATATTTACTTCTGAAACCAGACTGGTTGCTGTCGAGGAGGTTGTTCTGTGTGAGAAAGGCAGAGACTTGGTTGAACACAGCTTGTTCAAGTGTTTTAGCAATGAACGGAAGAAGGGAAACCGGTCTGTAGTTCTCTAAAAGAGATGGGTTAAGAGTGGGTTTCTTAAGAAGTGGGGTTATAAGAGCCTGTTTAAATGTTGAGGGAAAAACACCAGTGTGAAGAAATGTGTTAATGATGTGAGTGAGTGCACGTACAACTGCAGGAGAAATGGCTTGAAGGAGATGAGATAGAATAGGATTAAGCGGACAAGTAGTAGGATGATTGGAAAGGATGAGTTTGGAGACTTCTGCCTCAGAGAGTGGAGAGAAGGATGAAAACGAGTGTATGTTTGCTGGTAAGATGTGCTTGACAAATTGTGGTGTGGAAAATTGTGCATGCGAGAGTTAGATGAATTGTTAATTTTGTTATGATATAATGTCCTTTTAGCAGTGGAGGCATTAACACAGAATGAAGAGTGGAGTGACTGATACACATTAAGGTCAGTAGTATTTTTTTATTTGTGCCACACCCTTCCAGCAGCCCTGAGCTTAGAATCATGCTCGCGGAGAACATCAGACAGCCAAGGGGCAGAAGGTGTGGTAAAGCCTGTCCTGGAAGACAAGGGGCAGACAGTGTCTAAACCAGATGTAAGAGTGGAGCATAAAGTAGCAGTAGCACTGTTAGCATCAAGAGATGATAACTGTTTAGGGGGAGGAAGCAAAGATGAAACCATAGCAGATAGCCGGGAGGGTGAGAGTGAGCGTAGGTTACGTCGAAAGATGACATGTGGAGGGGTATATGTTGTGTCAGGAACCATGTTGAGGTTAAGAGTGAAGAGGAAGTGATCCGAGGTGTGCAGTGGAGTAACCAGCACATGATCAGTGGAGAAGTGTCTTGTGTAAATAAGGTCCAGTTGGTTGCCTGATTCGTGAGTAGCCGTAGTTAACACTCTCTTGAGATCAAAAGAGGCAAGAAGAGTGTGGAAGTATGCAGCCTGAGGTTTATCTAGGTGGATGTTGAAGTCTCCAAGCACAACTAGGGAGTACCATCCTCAGGAAAGGTTGAGAGCAGCACATCTAATTCTTCCACAAAGTTACCTAGTGGTCCTGGGGCCAATAAACAACTACAAAATAGATTTTAAAAGGGTGGGTAATAGTGACTGAATGTGATTCAAAGGAGCTGTTGATACCCAGAGAAGGTAAAGGAATACATTTCCAATCATTAGAGATAAGCAGACCAGTACCTCCACCTCTTCCAGTCAGACGGGGAGTGTGGGAAAATAAGAAATAATTGGAGTGCTGCAGGGGTAGCAGTGTCCTCTGGTTTGTCTGGTCAGTGCAAATAATCAAAAAGTTGAAAATAAATTATCGGGTAGGGTTAGGGTAGGGAGGGCTTATATTGTCCCAATAAGGTGGCATCCATTTAATAATTTAAATTAAAATGATCATTTACACTCAATACGTTATTATTGCATTCTGTTTTATAATGTACTACCATACTGAGGTGCAGATAATTGCCACTATTTGCAATAAGTAGTTTAAATAGTAGAAAATCCTGCTATTTTAACATAGTGTAAAGCCACAATCACACTAGAGTTTGAGCAAAATTCCCTCTCATGCTTTTTAAAAATTATACACATAACTAGTGTTGTCAAAAGACCAGGTACTTCGGTACCAAGTCGGTACTAAAAAAATGAAAGCGTTACGGTACCAGGCTTTTTTAAGTACCGGTGGTACCGAGAACCCGGTCAACCCGGTTCTTGATGCGCGGCGACAGCGACCTCAAAATGAGGAAACACACCAAACTAACAAAACACTTTAAAGACAGACACCCAGATCAAATGAAGGAGTTCAAGCAGGTAAGTTTCATTTAAATTTATAATATTTAGAGTGTTTCCCATACATTGATTTATTTGTGGCAGCCCGCCACAATATCAAAACTGACCACCACAAATAGATTTTCCAAAAGGCTTTGACTTCATTGAATAAACATGAGCACTGCACATGTCTGCACGTGTCAAAGTCGAAACCCAGTGCGGGTGTTTTTATATCACTGTGTTTCTGAAGGAACCCGACTGTCTTCAGAAAATTATGGATGTCATTTTCATTTCATCTTGCCTGTAATGCCTGAGCAGCGTTTGTGAGCGCAGCGCTTATTTGATTACAGCCGTTACCGGGGAAACCTCTATCTCTCCCGCTCTACAAGCGCCTCCTGCTGGCAGATAATGAATTTGCATATATATGCCGCCACAAATAGAGTGCAAGTCTGTGGGAAACACCGCTTCTGTTATGGATATATTATTCACTATTTTAATTTGAATATCGGATTGAAATGAACATCGCTGTTATTAGTGTAGTTAAGCGTTAGCATAAGAGCAGGCTAAAGCTAATAATGAACATTAGAATGAAATTTCTTTATTAACTATTTAATGCTCCTATAACCTTTATTTAGGACATGATGATATTTACTGTTTTTAAACACCAGAGGCTTTTAAATTAATTGTGAATCTAAAATATGCGTGTTAGATAATGTACAAATGGTTAACATTGTTTGTGTCATATCAGTCAGAAAAGCAGTTCTGGGCTTTTTCTTTTTCTTTTTAGCTAACTTAGTTAGTTGATAATCTTGGCTGAATAACTCTCGGTGAATTGGTACCGAGAACCATGGATTTTCACTGGTATTGGTACCAAATACGGAAATTTAGAATACATCTAAAATGTTTCCTGCAGCGCTGCAGTTTTAAACATATGTTCTTTTAATTCAGCTACGAGGTCATGCTGTGACGTATCGATCTGCTGTTGGTCACACACCAATGACGTGATGCGAATTCACAGATCAGGGTTCACCAAACTTGAACTTTGCTAATCAGTGAAATATCTTCGCACAGGCTTGCGTTTCCGGTCTGATGCATTCACATGCGTATAAATGGAAGTCAATGGAACGAAAATACCGCTCCAAGAATAAAAAGCAAAGTTCACACGGCAAAGTTACTAAATGGACCAAATTTGTTAATACAAGTCACGCGCGAGTGTAACCCAGTAGAACAAAATTCTACAGGTACTGGGTTTATTTCTATTCATTTAGTAATTATTTTTGTTTTGCTCTAATACAGAGCTAAAATGTGAGTGAATTATACATCATTATATTGATGTAAACTAAATGTGCATATGCCCCTTTAAGAGCGCGATCTTATATCAGGTTGGATTGCTATACACATTTGAAAAAAGTGGTTAATAGGGGAGAGAGGAGGGACGTGCAGGAGCTGAGGAGAGGGCTGATCGGAGCAATTGAGCTGACAGATGGCAGAAACTACAGTAAACCAATCGATAGATCCTCATATTAATATTTTGAAGTGTATATAGTGCGTGTGTTTACACGAGTGGTTGAGTTAATTCGGTTGTTCATATTTGAATTCTGAGTGTACGGTTTTTTTCCGTTATTGCGGTTACGCCATTCGCTCGTAAATAGCGCTGAAACAGACTGTGCTTCATGTTATCGTCAACAATAACTTTTTAAGAGAGGACCAGAAGACTGAAATCTTTGTGAATTCGTCGTGTAATTGACCCGAAGGAGACCAGATAGTGCCCCAGATCACCGTGAGGTCTGGGGTTCCTCTGGTTGCGTTGGAGTGTGACCCACATCGGCCGCCAGTGACAGCGCAGGACGAGGATCTGCAAGAGGCCTATCACGGGGGTTCGCGATCATTTCACAGTTCCTAAAGGAATTCAGGTACACTTGTTTGCGTTTGTTTTACACTCAGGAGAGTGAAGAAGCCAGTTTTCCGTTTCCAGTTTTCCAGTTTTCCGTTTCCCGGCCACTACGTTCTCAAGCCACGATTCAGGCCTGCTCGGGGGTGGGTTGTGAGAGTGTGTGTGTGTGTGTTTTAACGGTGTGGGTGTGGGCCCACAGTGGTACCTATCAGTTCATATAGTGTGGTTCAGCGCACTTAGGAACCGTGAGCACTCAGAGTAATATTTTGACACCCAAAGTGAATTATTTTGTAAATTTATTGTCAAGTGTGTTAGTTTGCTCAATTTACTAATTCAAAGTGTACTTGATGGAGAGCTCAATTCAGTAATTCTGTAATACGGTAATTCTCATTTGTGATATTTCCCTTTTGGGGTTAATTTGTACCCAACTTAATCAACTGTATTGTGTAATACTTTGCAACTTGAAATTTCTTCTTTTATTTTACTTTAATTAAATTCTTTATATTTTGTCTACTTCAATTGTTTTATTTATTCAAAATCGTTTATTTTTGACCAGTAAACTGGTGTGAGCATATATTTTATCCAGAGTAACTTTCTAAAAGTGAAGTATTCCATTCAGTGACGCCAGAGGGGCCTTAATACAACATCTCGGGCACTAGATTATTGAACCTGGTGCTGCTCCTTACTAAACCGTTATAAAAGAAGGTAGGGGGCGCTACATAAAGTGGGGGCTCGTCCGGGATCTCCCTCTGATAAGTCTCTGTTGAGTTCCTAAAAAAGACATCCGATCAGCCAAGCCCAAGCACATCTTGCCATCTCATTCTAAGTAACTGAGTAGTGAATAAACCGTTATCATGGCTCTGAGCAAAGACCCCAGCCTGCAAGCGGAGTTAATCAGCTGGTGCCAAAATGTTGGTGTTGATGAGAGTCATGCTTTAATGTTGATAAATGTACCTGTCCACACAGAAGTGGCCGAGATGGAAGACGCAATGGAAACAGTGAAAGTCCTAGGAAGAGTTCGTGTCAGAGACACAAGAGAAGGACCTACCTCACGTTCTCTGTTGGTGTTGTGTGAGTGCAGACAAGCCATTGACCCCACACGCCTACCTCTGGAAGTGTCCCCTGGAGAGAGTAAAGAGCCTTGGACAATCATAGCAGTCCAACCAAGGGAATTCGTATCTGACCCTGCCTCGGGAGATTTTACAGGTCGACTTGCTAAGTTCCTGATGGAAGAAGGTAAATCACTCAGTGACGTACAAACTTTGTTCACTCCCCGCAGCACAACTGACAGTTCCCCTGAGTCCATCATACGCGCCATGGGTGAGATCCTGGAAAAGATTGTAAAGCATCCCAGTGACGCCAATGCATACAGACGCATGCGCACGTTTTCAGCCGTAGTTCCTACCCCCCCAGGAGAGGAGAATATGGAGACATGGATTGAACAAGCGAGGCTTATGATCTACCATCCCGTATTCATTCAGCCCAGGGGCGGGATTTTAAAAGTGGTCTCATAAAGGAGCTGCTGAGAATGCTTGGGATACGTAAATCAAGGACTTCACCCTACCATCCCCAAGGTGACCCACAGCCTGAAAGGTTCAACAGAATGCTTCTTTCCATGCTTGGTATGCTGGATATTGCAGAGAAGAGCAGATGGAGTCAACATGTTAATCGATTAGTACACGCCTACAACTGTACTAAGAACGAGGCCACTGGGCATTCACCATATTATCGATTCCAGAGGAAATGGCAGATCCTGGTTTAGAAGGGGGAGATCCTGGTACAGATAATACTGCCAGAGAGGTAGTACAGCCTGTCCTTTACCGCCCCAAAAGAAATAGAAGACCTGTAGTCCGATTGAGCTATGACTGTTTGGGCCAGCCCAGCAACCGACCTTTAACCCTGGTTCATAGAGGAATGGTCATAAATGTTGAGGGTGGGAGAGAATCAGAAAAGAAACCCTGTAGCACAGTGTGGTGTCACCCTATGGCAAAATGTACTTATTGTGCTCAAGTAAACAATTACTCTGAGCCTAAATTCACCATTAAAGTGTAGAGAAGCAATCTCATGAGGACATGAGATGTTTAGAAGGGGGAGCATGTAACGCAGTAGAACAAAATTCTACAGGTACTGGGTTTATTTCTATTCATTTAGTAATTATTTTTGTTTTGCTCTAATACAGAGCTAAAATGTGAGTGAATTATACATCATTATATTGATGTAAGCTAAATGTGCATATGCCCCTTTAAGAGCGCGATCTTATATCAGGTTTGATTGCTATACACATGAAAAAAAAAAAGGTTAATACGGGAGAGAGGAGGGACGTGCAGGAGCTGAGGAGAGGGCTGATCAGAGCAATTGAGCTGACAGATGGCAGAAACTACAGTAAACCAATCGATAGATCATCATATTAATACTTTGAAGATTCTCATTTGTGATATTTCCCTTTTGGGGTTAATTTGTACCCAACTTAATCAACTGCATTGTGTGATACTTTGCAACTTGAAATTTCTACATTTTTATTTTACTTTAATTAAATTCTTTATATTTTTTTTACTTCAATTGTTTTATTTATTCAAAATCGTTTATTTTTGACCAGTAAACTGATGTGAGCATATATTTTATCCAGAGTAACTTTCTAAAAGTGAAGTATTCCATTCAGTGACGCCAGAGGGGCCTTAATACAACATCTCGGGCACTAGATTATTGAACCTGGTGCTGCTCCTTACTAAACCGTTATAAAAGAAGGTAGGGGGCGCTACACGAGTAAACTGTTCTCTCATTTGTCAAAGTTCCACAGTTTATTTTCCGGGTTTCCACTTAGCTTTCACGCCGGTCATCCGTCAGAATGAACGATAACAGCTTCGCGGGCTTATTGTTGTTTTGTTTTTTTTGTAGCTGTCATTATAATAATTTATCATTTTGAGCAGGAGTCCAGGATTGATTGGGAAAACATTTTTAAAATGCACCTACCGCCTGAGTTTTTGTTCAGGTATTCAGCATTCATCTCATTATATCAAAGTGTTGAAGCAATGTAAATAAGAGACTCGTTGTGCATTGTAGAGAACTTTATTGATAATAACCTATCTTTGTGAGATCGCGATGAACTACGATGAGTGACAGCTTTTTAGTGATTATGAACTGAGCGCTCTTTGTGCCATAGCAACGGACCCCGCTAATAAATATATATATATATAGAGAGAGACAGAGAGAGAGAGCACCCTCACTATTTTAAGAAGCACCATCAGTGATTTGATTCTGGAGCCGGCCTTTACTGTCCCATGAGACCACCGGAGCAGATTTATGAATGACTTTTAAAGCAGCACTACGTAACTTATGGCGCTCTAGTGGTTAATAAACAGAACTGCACACATCCCACGGAAGAACATTCCAACCGGAGCTACTTCTCTAAGTTTATGTCTCTGGCGATTCACGCAGGTATGTGTTACTCCGCAGCGGTGAGGACCCGACCAGGCTACAATAGTCCAAATATAAGTACTTATTATAAGTGTACCGTAGTGATTCGGAATAAGACAAAAATGTGGTTTGGAAGATGAATTCATGATGTACTCGCTCATTATATACATTTTGCAAATTTTGAACAGAAAAAGTTACATAGTGCTTGTTTGTGTTAGATGCAATAAACAAGCATGAGCTGAATCAATCTGCGACTTTATTTACAGGCCTCTGCACGAGAACCAACACAACAACTCCATCACAGGATACAGGGCATACATGGCATTACACCGTGTAACATCTCCCTTTCTTTAAAGAATTGCCACACTCCACTAAGAACCCCCTCCCTCCATTAACAACCCCAACTCCCAAACATGAACTCAAAATTACTAGCTAAACTTATAACTGAACTGCTTTACCGATGCCCTAGTCTGTCTAAGACACTAAGAAGGACTCACAAATCAAGTCTCTGTGGTGGCCGTGACTGACGGCTGCTGCAAGTAATGATCGGGGTTCCCAGTGGTGATGGTTTGTTAGCCACGGTCAGTCTTCGTTCCTGAATTTGCCCTGGTTCACACTCTGTGATGTCCGATGTGTCGTCCTCTCTGTGATTGCCATTTCACTGTAGCTAGCCACTGAGCCCTGCCTCTTGGTGATTAAACTGGTCTGAACGCTCGGCCCTCCGCAAATCCACATGGTTGCACCTGTATAATGTGCCATTCACATTCACAACATAAGACCGCAGATTCACCTTTCCTAAACACTGGCCTCTCCGCCACCGACCTGTGCGGTCTCCAGGCAGGGGTCTCATTCTGATGTGTTCACCGACATTTAGCTCTGGGAGGTCTTTGGCTCTCGCATCGTAATGGAATTTTGTCGTGCGTTGTTTCCACCTCAGTTTCTCCGAAACTCCTTCTACCACCTCGGGGAAAAGTAAACTGTTTGCCATGGGAAGTCCCGTCCTAAGTCTACGGGACATGAGTCGCTGTGCGGGACTGCTGTCTAATCCTTCTGTGAGCATGTTTCGCCAGTGGAGGATTGCTAGCCATGGATCAGACCCGTCAAGTTTTGCTCTCTTACATAGCGATTTCACGATCTTCACTACCAATTCAGCCTTTCCGTTAGATTGGGGGTGCTGGGGTGAAGATGTGACATGAACAAACCCCCACTGTCCCGCAAATTTTGTGAACAGTTCACAAGCGAATTGCGGCCCGTTGTCAGTGATAACCTGATCTGGCTGCCCGTAACGTACAAACTGAACTTTACAGCGTGTAATGACTGTGTCTGCTGTCAGCTGATCAATTTCCCAGTAATCCGAGTAGTGGTCCACTATTATAAGAAATTCCCTTCCACCGTACGCATACAGATCCATACTCACAATTTGCCAGGGGTGGACGGGGATCTCAGGACATCATCGTTTCCCTTTGCTGCTTGTGCGCATACTCGTTACATGCAGAGCAGTTGGCCACATAATATTTTATCTCGCCTCTCATATTAGGCCAGAACAGCGTTTCCTTTGCCTGTCTGTAACAGGCCTCTCCTCCAACATGAGTGGCATGAATGCGAGTCAGCATTTCTGCTCTCAGTGCTTTCGGTATAATAACGCACTGACCTCTGAATAGCACACCATCCTGAATGTTCAGTTCATCTCTGAAGGGCCAGTACTCACGCACCGAGAGCGACATATCTTCTTTGCGCTCTGGCCAGCCAGTTAGCACAATCTTTGCCAGCACCTGCAAAGCATCGTCAGCTTTTGTCTCATTAACAATTTTACTGAGACTGGCATCAGTCACGTTGAGGTGTAGTGCTTGATCTATGAATGAGAACACAGCCTCGGAGCTGTCCACGGTGCTCACAGCATGTTGTAGTAGTCCAGGCTCATTGAACACCTGTTTGTTAAGCGCTGCTCTGCTTAACGTATCACTTATGTACATCTCAGGGCCAGGCTTGTACACGACATTCAGGTTGTAGTTTTTCAGCTGCAACATCATGCTTTGGAGAGGTTTGGGAGCACTCAGGAGTGATTTCTTAAAAATTGACACGAGGGGCTTATGGTTGGTTTCAGCTGTTATTGTCTCCCTACCATACAGATAGTGATGAAACCTCTGACATGTGAATACTATGCTCAAGCGTTCTTTCTCGATTTGGGCATAGTTTTGTTCAGTACGAGTGAGTGCCCGAGAGGCAAATGCCACCGGTTGCCCCTGTTGAAGCAGACAGCAGCCCAGGTCATTCTTGCTGGCGTCGCTTTGTATTGTCACTGGCTTGTCAATGTCATGGTACTTCAAAACAGTGGTAGAAGCCGATCAAGAACCACTACTTTCTGGTGACACATGGCAATGCCCAGGACAAGTCTATCACAAATCATTTAATCTTTGAGTTCCCTGTATTCGCAGGTTGATGCTCGTTCCCGCAGCCTTGTTAGAAAACTGTCAATAGGCTTGTCCACTTCCTGCTTGCAACACCAGAATATATATCTTTCATAGATCACATTTTTCGCAGGCTTGAAGTAGTCACCTAAGGCATCGAGTATGGCTTTCGGATCTTTTGTTTGTGCCTCGCTCAACACAATATTGTGGCTGTAGATATGGCGACATTTGTTGCCCATTAAGCGCCGCAGTGCTGCCGCTCTCACCTCTTTGGGCTTCTCAACTAACCCAGTAGCTAGTTCATAGTCCTCGAATTCCGCTCTGAAATTATCCCAATTTTTGGATATATCTCTGGACATCCGCATGCCCTCGGGAGCGGGAATGCTGTTCAAGGCCATGTTCAGGAATTAGTGCCCACTTCTGACACCATGTTTGTGTTAGATGCAATAAAATCAATCTGCGACTTTATTCACAAGCCCCTGCACGAGAACCAACACAACAACTCCATCACAGGATACAGGCCATCACATATGGCATTACACCGTGTAACAGTGCTGCTTTAAGTGACACATGACAGTAACTCCACGGCAGATGTAGTACCTACATCCAAATTTCATTCATACTATCCTCATTCATATTATAATAGAACATACTTTTTTAACAGTCTCTAAGCTAATTCAAATAAACATGTACTTCCTACTCAAAGTATGCTAATTTCAGTGCACAGTTAGCCTTGGATGCACAAACATTACTTGAAATGGACTTTGACTCTCTAACGCAAATTAAAGGAAATAATAGTCATTTCTAGCCATGATGTGGCAGTATTAAAAACTGCTAAAAGAAGCCGAGACAGTTTTGTGTGGTCATAATTCGAAATATCCCATAAACATACACTTTAATTCTATCTGATCTTTAATTCTATTTGACATTACAGTGAAGTTCAAGTAGCTGCCATAAAACCACCAAACTTGTTTCTACCAAGTAAATATCTTACCTTACATGGCGGCATAAATGCTCTGGAAGAACAGTGAAGAAATGGATAATTAATAAACCATGGTTCTTTCTTGATTAAAAGAAACCGGTCCAGCAATGAAAAACAGAGTGTATTTGCCAGTGACTCTCCTTCATGCATTTCACCACATAAAACATGATTAACAGCCTTATGAAATCCAGGCGCTCGTATTATTGTAGTATTTTATTTTGAGTATTTTTAATAGTTCTGTCTGGTTTAACATAAAATCAATGCTCTACTCTGTCAAACATGACTTTATATATAGCACTTGGATCAATCCACCGCATTAAAAAAAGTTCACTGCCCCCTACTGGCAGTAAGAGCTCAATGAACATTTTCATTTTTTTTCTCCAGATTGACTGATGAAAGTCACTCTGATGATTCTGGAGCAGTTTGTTCTTTAGCGTGTTTGTTCTGGTGGGTCTGAAAACTACCTAAATAAGCGAATCTCTCGCCGCAGATGGAGCAGGAGTAAGGTTTCTCTCCTGTATGAACTCGCTGATGGACCTTAAGGATGTCTGATCGAGCAAACGTCTTGTCACACTGTGAGCATTTGAACGGTCTTTCTCCAGTATGAATCCTCTTGTGGTTTTGAAATATATTATGCTTACTGAAACTCTTCCCACAAACGCTGCAGTGATACGGTTTTTCTCCAGTGTGGACTCTCTTATGAAATACAAAAGAACGTGGATCAGAAAAGCTCTTTCCGCAGTAGGAGCACAGATATGGTTTCTCTCCGGTGTGAATCCTCTCGTGACAATTCCGATTAGATCTTTGACGAAATCGTTTGTCACAATGTTTGCACTGAAACGGTTTCTCATCAGAGTGGATTTTCTGGTGTGACCTTAGAGAGCTTGAGTCTGTGAAGGTTTTCCCACATTCACTGCACTGATACGGCCTCTCATTGGTGTGAACACGCACATGTGTCTTCAGATGAGATCCATGATTGAAGCTCTTCTCACAGTGAGGACACTTGTACGGTCTTTCTCCCGTGTGGATTCGCTTATGAGCATCAAGATTTCCTTTGGTGCTGAAATACTTGTCACATTCGCTGCAGTGGAAAGACTTTTCACTGTGAGTCTTCAAGTGAACTTTTAGACTAGAATGAATGAAAAAAACCTTCCCGCACTGTTCACAGTGAAACTCCTTCTTCCCACTGTGCTCTTTTGAATGAAGTCTCCTCTCTTCTGCGGTAGTAAAGCTGATGTTGCATATCTTACAGCTGAAGTCTTTCTGTTCTGTGTGTGTTCTCTCGTGTCTCGCTAAATGACCCTCTGAACTCAGTGTTTTTCCACAGGTGGCGCAGGAGAAACTCTTGACCGTCAGCTGATCTTTTGATGTTAAGTCTGTTTTTCCGTCAGAAGATGAACAGCCTTTATCATCTGAAATGAAAAAAAATGGTTATAAATTCTGGGTTTTAAAATATACTTCAAAAGAGTTTGTGTGAAACTCTGCAAGTTAATTAAATAAACTCATGCATAGACATATTGATATTGATAAAGTGAGTTTGGAAATGCAACATACACCACTCATTTCACCATATTTATAATGTAATTTTACAGTATAATAGCATTATTGCAATCGAAATGTGTTTCTTTCATGATTTTATAATTGAACTATAAATCTCTCATGACAAAAATAATTTAAATTAGATTTTTGGTCAAACCGTGCAGTCTTACTAACAGGCACAGCAAATCTGTCTCTCTTAAAAAAAACACATTCTAGATAAAAATCTCCATCAAAATGCCATTATATTCCCAAATATCTCAGAATATCTTAACTCAAAATTGATCAGATCATCAGAGACCAACTGTCAATAAAAACCTGATCCTGCAGAGACTCTGCTGACATTCAAGTGTCATAAAAGGAAGAAACAAACCTGGAGGAATGAAATCTTCATCTTCATCATTCCCATTATTCTCATCATCATCATCTTCCTCATCATCATTCTCATCATCCTCCTCCTCTTCCTCATCACGGTGTTGTTGTTCTTTCTCTGCGGTGGTTTCTTCTCCTCGGCTCTCCATCAGGTTCCTGCAGTCCAGCAGTTTGACGGAGCACATCTTCAGCGGCGTCTGCAGCATCTGCTGTTCTCCAGCGTTACAGTCAGAGGTTTGATCAGTGGATTCATGATCCTGAGCGTCAGTATAACAGAGTAAAGTGAGGCTGAGCTCTGAGTCCTGTGTGTCTCTGGATCTCTGATCTCTGACGCTCCAGACTGAATCCTGAGCTTCTGTCCCATCAGCCGCACGCACTGAAACCTGCTCCACATCCTGACAAACACAATCAGCTTATCAATACAGAATCATATATCAGTTGATTCTGACACTCATGAATCAACTTTGAAACGTAAAGGGATAGTTCACCCAAAAATGAATATTCTGTCATTAATTACTCACCCTCATGTCGTTCCAAACCTGTAAGACCTTCATTCATCTTCGAATCACAAATTAAGATATTTTTGATGAAATCCGAGAGCTTTCTGACTCTCCATAGACAGCAATGAAACTGAAATGTTCCCAGGCCCAGAAACGTAGTAAGGACTTTGGTTAAATAGTCCATGTGATATCAGTGGTTCAACCGTAATTTTATGACGCTATGAGAATACGTTTTGTGCACAAAGAAAACAAAAACAACACA